TTATACTTCAGTAGGACTTTAGTACACTTGACAAAAGTATACCAAATACCAGTAATACTTAAATACATTTTTAGTACTACAATAAAGTACACTACAGAAAAAAAACATCCAAAAGAGTTTTATTAGTGTGTTTTTCTAAAGTGTGCTTTAAATGCTTTAAACATTAGTTGATTTTTAGTACACTGTTTACATACTAATCCTAAGTTTAAAATAAGTTAATATATAAAAAATCTATTAGTAATGTATTGTAGTAGAAGTACATTTTCACCCAAAAGTTGTATTTAAGTACACTTAATGTGAATGCAATATTATCACTAACACTTAAATTGATTTTGAGTGTGGTAATTTTAAGTTTATATTAAATTGACTTTATTAAAAATCCATTGCTAATGTTTTGTAGTAGAAGTACATTTTCCCAAAAGTTGTACTTAAGTACACTTAATGTGAATGCAATATTATCACTTACACTTAAATTGATTTTGAGTTTGGTAATCTTACCAAAACATTATTGTCTTGAAGTATGTGTGTGTTGTAGGTCAAGGAATGATCAGGAAAGCCAAGAATGGGCATGCAGAAGGGATGATATGTTTGAGTATCTAGTGTAGTCAATAATATGATAATCTAAGGAAACATATGTTTTACATTGCATACTCTAAAATTGTTCTGGACTGTTTATCCTTCTACTTAATTATCTTTTGTCTAACCAATTACGTGAGGATGTCTAAACAATCCAATGACATAGGTTTGTTGACTCTGTTAGCATAAATATAACTGTATTCTGAATGTAAGGAAGGATTATACTTTAAATTAGTCATAAATGTATTTAAATGTTTAAAATTAGGGTTCAAGTGTATTTCTAGTTGTAACTAAATATATATTTTTTAAAATGCAGATATAGTATGTTAAAAACACATTTTAGTTCAATTTCATGGTGTCTCAAAATAGCACAGTTGAGTACACTTAGATGGTATTAACTTTATCTTAACATATACTTAATACTATCTTTTAGAACATTAAGTACAAAATTAGTGTGTGAAAATAGAGCACTTTTAGTACATTACTGAAAAAGTATAATTAGTGTACTTAAAGGGTATTTTAGCACACTGCTTTCACATTTTGTATATTCTTTTAATATATTACTATTATGCTTTAAGCTATTCTTAAATATATTTCTAAATGTTTAAAAGTAGGGTTCAAGTGTATTTCTAGTTGTAATTAAATATATATTTTTAAATGCAGATATAGTATGTTAAAAGCACATTTTAGTTCAATTTCAGGGTGTCTCAAAATAGCACAGTTGAGTGCACTTAGATGGTATTAAGTTTATCTTAACATATACTTAATACTATCTTTTAGTACATTAAGTACAAAATTAGTGTGCGAAAATAGAGCACTTTTAGTACTGAAAAGTGTACTAAGTATACTTAAATAAAGTGCATTTTAGTGCACTTTTTTTTTTTTTTTTACCTGGGGCAGAACACTGCTTCCCCAAACACAATCAGTAGTGTTTTCAGAAGCAAGTGTGAGAGAAATATGCACTACGTGCACCTCGTTTTACCTTATTTATTCATTTATATTCTCTGTTTAGGGGAAATGTGCTACAGGTTTAGGTCAGTCGTTCGCTGGTCTTGATGATCTGTATGATGACTTGGATGTGTACAAGGACATATATCTGAAACATACAACAAAATATGTATAAAAAGTAACATTTCAGATTCACTAATGGAAAAATATATATATATAGGAAGTACCCTCAATTGTCATTTGCAACAAAACGTACTCAGAGCAATGTATTTTATTCATTCATTCATTCATTCATTTCTGGCTTTATTTTTTTAACTATTTATTCATTATTACTTTTATTAATATGGGGTCGCCACAGCGGGATGAACCACCAAATTATATTCATATTGTGATAAAGTCGCATTAACTGTCACCGTTGGGAAAGCAGCACTGGCAATTACACACACACACACATTCTCACGCACACACATACTTGCAAACACACACACATTCTCACGCACACACATACTTGCAAACACACACACATAGAGACAGACGCGCTGACAAGCAGACATACTCACAGACCCACTTACCTCATTCATTTATCATATTGTTCCTCCCTGCCGCGATCTCGGTAGCACATGGACATATTTCATAAATCCACTCTCCGCAATTCATAAGTCATTCATAGGCATTTTATACAACTCCACTTCTGTTGTCTTTTCCGTTTGGTGTTTGTCTGTGTAGGGGTAGTCAGGCTTCCGGTCGCGATCGGTCAAACCGAGCAAATTGGAAATGCCGGTATAAGAATGCATGGGATTGTGTGCGCATGCACTCTGCGATCGGAAGCTGACGAAACCATTATGTTTGTGAATAGGTGTTTTTTGTTTATGAAGTGTGTATTATGTGTTTATTTATATTTGGAAAGTTTATATTTTGTTTTCAATTATATATTAGGGATTGGTTGTCTTTATGTGTTCAATGTGAAGTGTGGATTGAATGTTAAGTTTTTTAATGTTTGTGTATTTGTCAAATTTAATGCTTACCTTTGAATGGCATAGCCCACAAACGGGCGGGAGTTTAGGCTATATAAATCAGAGCCAAACTCCCATACAACGCTTGATTACCAAGTCAATGCAAGAGTGCTACTGTGGTGAGAATAACTTGTGGATACATGTTATCGTTTTTATTACTTGGGTGGGCCGCCCAGGTAAATTAACCGCCATCCATATATTAAGTGACACTTTTTTTTCTTTTTTTTAAACTATTAATAACATCTTTTTACATTTTTTTATCCTCTCAAAATAACAAACATCCACAATGAATTATGTAGTAGAAAATCTTCTCTCATTCACCAGTTTCATTCTGTGCCTGGGAGACCTGTCAACAATCGTGCAGTTTCACATGCTCCTTAGACCCGCAGAGACGTGCATTTTTGGGACTTAAAAACTTATTCGGTTCGGGTTTCAAAATCTTCTAAAACAGTAGTTCTCAAACATTTTTCTTCAAGTACCACCTTAGAAAAAATTTTTCTCTCCAAGTATAACCAAAATGAGCAGTATTGAAATACAGTAGCAAAGAAGGCCCAGTAAAGCAGCTACAACTCTGCACAGTTAAAAAACCTGACAGATTACCTCAGAAATTTAGGCTATATATCACATATGGCATATTATATACATCATTTTTAATCCATTTTGAAATATATGTAGCATGTACATGACATATTTCATTCCTCCGTGTACCATTAGAAGGAAGCCCGCGTACCACTAATGGTACACGTACCACAGTTTGAGAACCACTGTTCTAAAATGTCCGGAATTCAATGTTTGCTTTCGCTTTCTAAAGCTTGTATGAATATTTGCATTACTCTTTTATGAAAGACTACTTTCTGCCTGGTTTCACAGCTGACAGCGGACAAACAGCTGTGATACAGAGAGAAAAAAGTTAATAATAATCGATTAATTATTCTAAACGACTCAGAAAAACTTTACTATACACTGTCAGTAAAAGGTACATATTTGTACCGGAAGGGTCCAAAATAGTACCTCAAAGGTACTTTTTTAGGTACATTTGGGCTCTAATATATACCTTTGAGGTTCTACTGTGGACTCTTTGGGTACAAATATGTGTATTTTGAAAAGGTACTGCACAAATGACAGCTCCTGTACCTTCATTTTTGAGTGTACATTCGAAGAGGACAAAATGAAATCTAAACTGGCTGCAAATTATATGTACACCAATAGTAATGGTTAATCTACGCATTTGCCTTAAAAATCTACTTGTTTTGATCTTACAATTATGATAATTTTTTAGAGATATTGTCTGATTTTATTCCTTTTTCTGTCATTTATTTCTCATTTGCTAATTATTTTATTGCTTGTTACATGTTGATATATTATATAGGCTATTTTATAGACATTTCTAAAACGCTTTGGCATTCAAGTTTGCTTTGAAATTGAAAGAGAGAAAGAAGTGGATTTTCCCTGTCAGTATAGGTTCACATTGCTCCTGAATAGCATACATCTACTTCTTTAAGTCTTTTTTTACTTTAAGCCATTAAAAAGAACCATTATAATAACATGTCATAATAAATACAATAATTATTAAAAATAAAATTATGTTTTGTTTTGTTGCATATAGTTTTCTATTCATGTGATGTGGGTAAATGGTGTTTTAATCCAGCTACCACCACAAGTAAACTTCAAACCTGTAGGAAGCACTGCATTTGTACCATCACAATTTACATGATCATTTGTTTTCCGTCTTAGTAAGATTTTTATTGTTGTTGTGGTTGCTAATGATTTTTTATCAAACATCCTTACTGGTGAATAGTTGACAGTTAAGTTAAATAGGAAATATAAATGAAAAGAAATGGACTGTTGTGGACAGAGTGTTTTGACATGATGAGTAATGACATGTCATCATGACCCTGTCTCAGATCCACATTTAAACTCATTCTGTTACCTTTCGTCTTATATCCATGTTTTCCTGGAAGACAGCCCAATGTATGACTTATAGTCAGAATGACATCAGCAAAGATGTACGCATCCAAAGATATATCTTCAGTATAATGAACGACATCAGAGCGCACAATGGGTCACTCAGAATATGATTTGAACTATTTTTACCTTTAGAAATGCAGGTTGACACGTTGTGATGACTAGCGAGAGACACAATCATACAGTGTGATTTTGTCCTTGACTACAGTGTGCTGGAACAGATTATTGAGAGAACTGCCTGTGAAAGTCAGATCATTGCTCTTTGTTCTTTTGTTATGCATTTTGGGAGTCAAAAAAGAGGCTTTATTTTCATTAGAAACAGCCCTTCATGGATAAGAAAAAAACAGAACTGTATTAACAGTGTGTCCATTGGTTTCTTGTGTTGTAGGTGCTGGACTTTGAGCGTGAGAATGAGTATATACTGGTGCTCAGCGCTCAGAACCCTGTCGCTCTGGTGCGGGGCAGATACGGACCTGCATCCACAGCCACTGTCACCATTTTCATTGATGACATCAACGAAGGTCCTGTTTTGTCCCAAAGCCACTATGAGGTCACTGTCAGAGAAGGGGAGGAGCCAGGACGAGTTATTGCCACAATCAGAGGATATGACCCTGACTCTCATCCAATCAGGTAAGCTAATATTTAATTCTTTGAATTACTAGTAAATATGCAGTTGCCACCCAACGCAGTTCAAACAGCATTTGTACATTATGTTTACCATTCGGCAAAAGTTTGATTGACAGATTATCTGACCAGTCATAATGCTGATGTAATAGGCTCCCCATTGCTGTCTGCCATTTTGTGCATTAAAATAATCCTAAAGTGGATTAAGTAGATTAACATAGGTGAATTTAAACATGCCTGTATGGGACTTGTGATGTAGACAACAGGTTACCGGACAAGTAATAGGGAGTGGTAACAGGCTAATTGAGGGGGGATGTGGAGGAATGGCATCTCCATAATGGAAAAAATAACATAAAGCATCCCCCTTTGTAAAACCACCATCCCCCCTTACTATCCCCTTCAGATTAACAAGAGTGTGTATAATGTAAAACTTGTAATGCAAATTAAATATTAAAATTCTCTATTTATGGTAATTTATGACTTTAGAACTCAATATCTTAATAAGGCGTCACGCACAAGCGCAATACAGTGCATTACATAATTTTGTGCAATTTTCAAAATGTCCAAGAGAACAGTTCAGACAAAACTTTTTTAATTCTTTTATAAAAAGAGAACAGAGGTATGATATTCAGTGGTTTAATATTATATATGTATGCTGTGCCTGCCATGCATAACTGTATTTCAGAACAGTTTAGGCGGCTTGGCGTGGATGTAACTTAAGCTATTCTATTTTCACTATAAAACACAGTTAACAGGGCTTGCTTACAGTTACTTTATAGCGACTGAAGCTTCTAACACCGCAAATATCTAAGTTACAGCAGATTCTAGGTTCCCCGTTTCTAAAATGAACCGCTATTATTATCCCTAAAATCAAAACACAAACGATGATGCATTTTTATAATCACTGTTGTCTAAATGTTGCTCTGTTTGGAAGATGCTTCTAAACAGCTCAAACGCTGTACATCTCTGTTTTGTTTATGAATGAATCTTGAGCTTTGATATGAGACAATGATTCAGTCGTCCATTCAGAAAGACATTTGTGAATGAATCAGCTGTTCATACAACTTAATTAAATGAATCATTCAGTGACGGAGACTTGACTTCATATACTGGCGGTTTTAGTTTTGAAATAAATGTATCTAAATGCTAACCTTGTTTTTTCTTTGTCATCTTTGTTGTGTCAAGAAAATCTACAAAGATGGCAGAAAGTACATCACTTGTTTTATTTATTTTACAAAAGCAGTTTTTTCCCCCAATATATACAGTTGAAGTCAGAATTATTAGCCCCCCTTATATATTTTTTTTTCTTTTTTTTTTTTTTATATTTCTCAAATGACGTTTAACAAAGCAAGGAAATTTTCACAGTATGTCTGATAATATTTTTTTCTTCTGGAGAAAATCTTATTTGTTTTATTTTGGCTAGTAATGTCACTTTAAGCTGTATAGAAGTTTCTTGAAAAATATCTTACTAAAATAGTATGTACTTGCAGCATGGCATAGATAAAATAAATCAGTTATTAGAAATGAGTTATTAAAACTATTATGTTTAGAAATGTGTTGAGAAAGCTGTACAAAAAAAGTAGACAACTTTAAAAGATATTTTACTGTTGTCTGTACAACAGAAATTGTGTTTTGATTTTAAGTCGAGCACAGTAAAGATATCATCTACCGTACAGACAGTTGTTTGTGAGCTATAAAGCTCTACTTATGTCACTTATTGTAGATGTCTGGGAAATTACCAGTTTTTCTCTTCAGTCTCATTTTTCTTGTGATGTTGTAGTTCAGTTTTACCATGAAATTTGTTGGCTATAACTTTGCTCTTTATTTTGTTTACTTCTTTTATGTCCTGAATGTATCATTTTAATGCATATTGCAGACCTGTTTCTTTGACTGTCTGAAATAATCTTTTATTTCAGAAAAGTTTTTTTTTTTTGAGATATTACTCAAAAATTATTTTTCCATTGTGTGGGCAAATTTACAAGGAATTATCAAGTACTTTCCAGTTGGTTTCACAATCCATTTGCTTTCCAAATATATCAATATTAAAATTGTAACCGTCTTTGCAATGTGCCGTATAAACACCAACAATACTTACAATATCATAATGCAAACCCTGCAGAAAAGTGAGAGAAAATAGATGACAATACAAGAGCTTGTTGTCTGTAGGCTGTTAAGAGAAGCTTGGCTGGAAACTGGTAATTTATTTCACCACACAGGATCAGATAAATAAAGGGTTTAGGAAAGCATATACGTTTTATTGCTTTATTTTACAGACAATATATTTAGACGGAAATGGTTTAAATTTGACCTTTAATCACCATGCAGTATATGTATGCGGGTATAGTTGAAGTCAAAATTATTAGCCCCATTTATTTTTTTCCCCAATTTCTGTTTAATGGAGAGAAGATTTCTTCAACACATTTCTAAACATAATAGCTTTAATAACTCATCTGTAATTACTGATTTATTTTATCTTTGCCATGATGACAGTAAATAATATTTTACTAGATATTTTTTCAAGACACTTCTATACAGCTTAATGTGGCATTTAAAGGCTTAACTAGGTTTATTAGTTCACTAGGCAGGTTAGGGTAACTACACAGCAAAATATGGGGACCCAAAACAACTCTATGGGTGTTAATTTCAACACTTTGAAAGTGTCTCATGGGGTCCACTCAAAACAGACTTAAATCAACACTTTCAAAAGGGTTGGCACATTGACACCGAAGTAAGGGTTAATTTTAACTCAGGGCAGAGTTAAAAATGTAACTATATTTAACACCACCTGGTGTAATATATTATTTTATTCAACTCTCTTGAGTGTAAATATGGTAAAAAGGTCAAATAGACTGTAAATTACAAAATAAAAAACATTTTATTTGAAAACATTCACAACTTCAACAATTCATTCATTTTTTAAAATGCAACAATGTCAAATATGCTTTAAATGTTTTATTAGTACAGACAGTATCAACAAAATATGATGTCCAAACTTGATGTTTCATCAGAGCAATTTGAAAGTTCAATATATCGTCACTCATAGTTTTCTTCTGAACGCATAGTTTTCTTCTGAAATTACATTTTAAACAACTTGGTGTGCAAATCTTTCACTTCGGGTGTTTCCTTGGTCCTCCATATCAAAACACAGCAGTTTAAATGAAGGTATAAATGCTGTAAACTTGTGTGAAAACAAACTGGAGCTAGGAAATCTCATCAAGCATGTCCTGTGAATGAAGTGCTTCCCAGCCACAGGATGACCTTTTTATCCATGACGATGTAGCAGCTGCTGATCGCTCGTCTGGTGGTTCCTGATGCACGGATATAGGGTGATGCTCATCTAAGAACTCTTCAAGACTCCAGCATGACTAAGAAAAATGTTTGAAAACAAATTGCAATCAAATTCTATGATATATTTAAAAGAACATTTAAAGTAAATAAAACATTCAAGATATCTAAACTCACCTTTTGAAAATCTTCATGATGATCCACAACTTGACTCTCCCAGCTGGTTGAGGTGACAGGATATGGAAAAGTAGAAAAAACACATACATCACTGTTGGATCTCCAAAAACAATTAGGTTAACCACTATGACTAGAACTGGAAAAACAGGCAGCTGTCTGTCCAGAATCCTCAATTTAACACAACACTTGGAGCAAAATTTAGAGGAGCTTAAAATCTTTTATATAATTTAGTGATGCTGACTTCCCCAAAATATTGGCCACAGTGTAAAAAATATTCATAAACTTACAGTTTTCTGTAAGCGTGTGTGTGTGTGTGCGTGTTTCTTTACCAGATTCAACTTGTTAGGCCCTTTCAGGTCCAGTATTGACGCCACCTTTCCTGGAGTCTAGCAGAAGTTTTAGGTCCAAATATAATCTAAAATATTAGGATAAGCAGAAGAGGAAAAGTGCAAAGCAAAGAGAAAACATTATTTAAGTAACAGTTCACCCACAATACAAAACTTATCACCTTCATGTCATTTGTTATTCTCTAATGCTCTAATACCCTCTCAGCTTATTGTGAAACAAATACAGAACTTTATCAAACATACCTTCATTATTATCACCACATATGACCAAGAAGGTGTGCTTGGTCATTTCATCAACTCTGGAAATACACCATCCGTCTCTAATCAGCCACCGTCACAGGGTCTTGTGTTATTGTACAGAGAACTGTGGCTGTTAAAAAACATCAACACATTAGTATCTAACACATATGCATAACCTTCAGATAAAAAAAGAGAGATGAACATCACAAAGTATGCCTCACACTTTTTCAGATATCTTTTGATTCAGATGTTGATTATTGATAATAAATCTACAAATCAAACCTGTATCATCATTAGGCTGCTCAAATATGAATCAGTTGATTTATTTTACAGACAGGTGGCTGTTTACAACGCACTAATAAAACGGAAATGTTGTGTACAGTACATGCTAAGTTTAGCCTATAGTTTTAAGCACAATATCATGCGGGAGAAAAAGCTTGACTAAGATGTTCCTGACAACAGAAATAGCCTAACTTACTAACGTCAGACATCCCGAGTTGGGAAAAGTCATTTTCGGGGGATACAGAGTTGATTTGCGGGAGAGATAAGTACCTGAAGAGCAATGGGATAAGCTGCGCGCGACGTACCTGAAGAGCGGTGGGGGTGACTTGCGCGCGACGTACCTGAAGAGCTGGGAGGGATGCGGTGGAGAGGGGCGTGCAAAGTGTTTAATGACCGGGCGGGAGACGCGCGATTTCCGGGAGATGATCATTCATTTGAGGGCATCTACTTGGGCATCTGGCAGTCTCTGTGCATTTGCGGAATAACGTTAACGTTAGTCCCGCAACTTCCGGGAGACTTCTGTAACGTTAAATGTCTGATAAAGTGCAAACGCGGTCATTTAAAGACATTAATGTTAACATTCCGACTTTTATGGTTGTCAACACTTAATATAATTCAAGCGTACGTTATCCCACGAGTCTAAGTTATGGACTAACGTTAACGGTATACGGACGG